TGACGAATGCACCCCTTCTCTTTTCTTTTTTACCAAGAAACCATTTACCAACATCACAACCTCAACCCGTATACAATTCAACCAATTCTCTACTCTTAACAGCAACATTTTATTCATATAGCATGAACCTAATTTCTATATACCAAACTTCATCAAACATTTAAAATTAAATCACAAGTAACTGCAAGCATGGTTAAGGATTTGGAAGAAGATTTGGTTTAATCCACTCACCAATCAGCTGTAATTTCAATGGGGCATTCAAGACAAAAATATGTTGACCCAGTAATATTTTCAAGTCATTTCAGAGTCAATAACTATTTAAAACACAATTTTCTTTCAACTCATTTAAATCTGCCAACTGTTTCCAGAATTGAGTTACTGACTTGTAAAATTCATAACAATTCAGCCCTTAATCTAAACCTCATGAAACTCTCCAGAATTAAACTAGGCACATATGGATTCACCAGAATTTAAAATCACTCAATTTGGATAAGTATAAGTGCTTATTTCAGTTCTGAAAAGCATGCTCTACAGAAAACATGAAATTCCAGAATTTCATAGCAGAATTCAAAATTCATTAAAAAATCCAATACTTCGAATTTGGGGTGAAATCAATTTTTCAACCAATCTCTAATAAGTTCTAAAACAAAATATCTGAAATTTAGCTTCATGCAAACCCGAAACTAATATAAATTTTCGGAAGTTCGGACGTCAGAATTTCACAGCATAACTTTTTATAACCAAAAACAACCTTTATAACTCTTGGTTCTTTAGGTCAACATATATGTATATGCATAAAATGCACACATGCATGCCAAGTTCAGCAAGCTTCAAATTCAGCTCAAAACTCATCAAAAAGCAAAAATGGCCAACTATATTTAACATGCAACATAATCTGAATTTTTTTAAGAAAACTTTCATTTGATCCACTCACAAATTCAGCTCAGCCGAAACTCCAATGGACAGTCAAACACTCTCTTCTTCCGTACCTACACCCAAAAACTCAAGATCAAACACTCATTCTTAAAGCAAAGAAGAAACACTTAAAGAAATTGCTTCCTAACCCCATGCATGCACTTTCCGAACCCAGATTTTGGAGTGATCTGCTTCAAATTCCCTCCCTATTTTTGCTGTACTTCACTCTCACTTTACCTCTCGGTCTCCACTCTTACTCTACCTCTCGGCAGCTCTTCTTCTTCCTTACTCTCCTTTCTTTTCCTTCTCTCTTTTCTTCTCTTCTCCTCTCGTTTTTTTTTTCTTCTGCTCTGCCATCGTTTTCTTCCTCTGCTCACGTCTTCTTCTTCTTCATTTTTTATATTTTTAGTCTTTCTAAATTTATGCTTCTACCCCTAGATTACAGGTAATCCCGCTAAACCCCTACCACATCAGCTTTTCTTTCAAATAAACCTCCAGATTTTGCCCCTTGTAACATGCAAACCCAGCAGCTTCCTTTTCTTGCAATTTCATTCCCAATAAAACTTTTAAAAACTAACAGAAATCCCCTTCCATAAAAATAAAATCACACAAAATATGTAATATGTATTAGGATTAAAAACGGGGTTTCACATTTGTCCTTGTCTCTTTTCTTGAGGTTCATGTCCTAGAAGAATTTTATTTTCTTCTAGTTGCTCTGTTTTCTGATAGTTTTCATGTTACTCTGTTAAAGTGAGAATAGTGAGTGTAACTGTCAACAGTGGCTTTTCTGAAGGAAAAGACATATATTTCTCGGAAGAAGTTCCACAGATTTGCTGTTTTTAAGTTCCTTTGCATGCCATTCAAAGCTGAAGTGCAATTTCTCACATCCAATCACAACTGTTAATACAAGATCTAACAATTTGTCACCCTATGATTCGTTTTTCAATCTAAGAAGAAATGATGAAGGGCTAAAAATTGGCTACATAGTTCACAGGTTCTCTAGATGACAATGTTGCCTGTCGTAAGTACGTATTAACTTAACTATCATCAAAACCTGTTTACAACTTAGTGCAGGAAGAAAAGTAGTGCTCTCAAGTTAGCTAGAGAATCAGATTCAAACTTGCTTCTTGCAAACGTTTACAACCATACTCTGTTCTTCTCCGTGTTAACATTTCTATCTTCTCTTTGCAAGAAATAAGACCGTCAAATTTGCCATTTTGAAATTTGCCATTTTGAAACAACGTTCTTGAAAACTTAGGGTATGTGCCATTTTGAAATCCCTTTCAAATTTATAGCTAAGTTCTTTGTTTGTTTGTCCATTAAATGTTACCCAAAAAACAGTTCAAAAGTTGATTTAAGCCATTAATCCATATACCTCAAATAAATTAGACTTTTATTGATGAATACTAAAAGTTAAAACAGCAAAACTTAATCATTCAGATTTGAATATGAATTCACAGATCAGATTCGAACGGAAGTTATGGCGACAGATGCTAACATTAAGACGCTGACAGATAAGGTGTTCAGGCCTTAAATTAATTGAGCTCAGTTTGCACTTGATTTTAAGGCCCTCCAGGTACAAGCCAGCAAGAGATCACTAAGATTTATTGTCCTTTTTTTATTTTGTTTTAACTTAAACAATACTAAACTAATACAAATGCACTGGCGTCTGGCTGTTACACTGAAGTTACGTAAAGATGGCTGAAGAAGAATTGTCATGACAATTGAAGTTATTCCATGATAACACACTAAAAGTTATTCCATGATGTACACTCTAGAAGTTATTCCACCATCACACACTAGCTAGAAGTTATTCCATGATTACACTCTAATTAAATAATGACTCTGGGAATCCATGATCACACACTAAAAGTTATTCTATGATCACACACTGAATGAATGAAAATCATCAAGCATCCAAACTTGAAATCTGCGAGCAAGAATACTTTATTCAGCTCTGTGATTGCCCTTTACAGATTATATATGTTTGCCACTTTAAATATTCCTGAAAAATTCCAGAGGATAATATTATAATCTTACTGTGAGAAGTTATTTATTAATTAGATCTCTAAAACCGAGATGTCCAAAAGAAGGAAGTCTTTTTAAGGCAAACTTAAAGAAGATCATGATGAAATAGTACTTGCCAATGCCTCATTCTCAATTAAGTAAATATTAAAGCAACTTCTTTTTCCTTTAATGGACATTGACTTCATGTTCATGACGTTTGATGAGATTTATTATTTCTCTTTAAAGCAAGGTGACCCTACTTCTTTGGAATTTATTCGCTCTTATATGTATAAAGTACAGAGAGAATAAGTAAAAGCTACAAGTAGTTTTTTGGAAAAGACAAGTTAAAACAACTTTTCCTAATGACATCTTTTGTTAGAGCTTATCACTAATATACCTTTCTTTTGTAAAACTCATTTAGAAATATAAAATAATCACTTACATAACCGTCTTTACTAATTTTAATTCCCAAAACATCGTGAGTTTGTTTAAAGGATAGATCCAACAGTAAAATCAGATGATTTAATCTAACTATCCTGGTTGAATAATATTAAAGGCAAAAATAGTTGGAACGCATTAGACTACCAAGTCTAGGATGGTCTAATATAGTCTAGCATGCTTTAATTAGATTGTCATATCATACTATTAAATGCTAAACTCAAGCAAGACTATCTAGACTATAGAGTCCAATACAATATACCATTATATATAATACTGTATCAGTTGTTGTTTCATTAAGAGTATAATTGATAAATCATTGGATTTTGTGGCTAGATTTGTACTTTAGATAAAACCTGCTGCATATGTTGGAAAAGTGTGATTATTGAGTTGACTACATATGTCCAAACCCATACCAAACAAGGATAATTACTTACTTGATGTACTTATTATTACTTGCTACCTATTTTAGAGTTTCAATGTATAATTTGTGTAGTTGACACATCCAAAGCTAGCAGAATTTATCAATAATTCAACTTTTTTCTTTATTATTGGGAGAATAACATAGACTAATTATGTAACATTACTCTAATAAACCTAATGGTAATGTAACCGAGTTAGGGTAAAAGAGTATCAATGATAAAGTTTTCAGACTTTGGACATAAACTTTATCATTTCTCTTTAAGGCAAGGTGACCCTATTTCTTGGGAATTTATTCGCTCTTATATGCATAAAGAACAAAGAGAATGAGTAAAAGCTACAAGTTCTTAAGAAAAGACATGTCATAACTTTTTTTAATGATGTATTTTTTCGGAGCTTATCACTAATATATCTTTCTTTTGTAAAACTCATTTAGAAATATGAAATAATCACATATATAACTGTCTATACTAATTTTAATTTCCAAAATGTCATGGGTTTGTTTAAAGGATAGATCCAGCCGTAAAATCAAATGATTTAATGGCAATATAACCGAGTTAGGGTAAAAGGGTATTAATGATAAAGTTTTGAGACTTTGGACATAAACTTTAAGCTAAAACACTTAAATTTCATAATTTAATATTCATTGTAATATTTTGCCTAATAATTTTTTATCCGTGATTGCAAAAGCAATACTGACCTTTTTTTTTTTTTTTTAATTACTATGAGTACAAGGATTTTGGAAGGAAAAAGTGGAGTTCTACTATAATGTTCATAAGATACATTAGATATCCCCATGATAGTTTAATTAAGATAAACCTCAATGGCATAACATTTCTTTAAGAAAGTAACTAGATTACTTTCCTTGAGTGGCGACTTTACAGCTAGTTTTCTACTACACTTTCTTCTTATAAATAAATTAAGATGAACCAAAGCTCAGTAGCGTAGTAGCAGATAATATGAGACTGAGTGAGATGAAAAAAGAAAAAATCATGAATAGAAGTTGTCTGACGCTTCTTACCAAGTCTGTTAATCCTTTAATTATTTTATTTCTCCTTTGTCAAAGTGCAGAGCCAGCAACGAAAAGACTGCCGCCTGCTGAATGTATTACCTAATCTCTCTTCCTTAATTAATATTTTCAGTACATTAAATTTATTAATTAGTTTATGTCAAAATATTTGGCAGCTGCGGCTCTTTCCACAATCATATTGAACTTAGACATGCCGGCACAATCTGTTCCAGATCAAGATTCCTACTGTGACGAGAAGCACGATCTTGGTTATGGCAATGTCATCAATTGCACCATAATCGACAATACTTGGCACGTCACTCAAATGTAAGTTCTAAAGAGCATATCATTTCAATGTAAGCTTGACTCTGATACAATACAGTCAAATTGATCCAAGATCCTTATCATGTTAAATTCAATCATACTTGTGGAACATAGTTTTGAGGGATGTACCTTTAGATAAATATATCAATGCTGCTGTGAAAAAACTTAAATACCTGGAGATACTGTAAGTATAATTGCTTTTCATCATTTCTTTTCCCGACTGTACTCCCCAGTAACGCAGCTGGGCTCTCTCACATTTGCCACAGAAACAGAGTAATTTCCTCTGTAGGCAATAACAGGTACCAGCCCGGTATTATAGAAATACCCTTTGGCTGAATCTTTGGTTATTTTTATGTCCAAACTCAACAGTGATCTATCCAACAACAACATTCAAGGTGACATTCCTCCCGCACTGGGGAATTTATCTCATCTTACTTATCTGTAAGTTTTGCTCTACACTACAAGTTCAATCATAATTTTTTTTCTTTGAGTGAGATTAGGGTGAATTCTATGTTACAAACATTGCTATAATGAGCCCGTGTGTTTGTATAATGATCAGAGCCCTCTCATCCAGTAAGTTGACTGGGTCAATACCTCCGAGTTTGGGGAATTTATCTCATCTTACTCACCTGTAAGTTTTGATCTACACTACAAGTTCAATGACAATTTTTTTTCTTTGAGTGAGATTAGGGTGAATTCTATGTTACAAATATTGCTATAATGAGCCAGTGTGTTTGTATAATGATCAGAGACCTCTCATCCAATAAGTTGACTGGGTCAATACCTCCGAGTTTGGGGAATTTATCTCATCTTATTCACCTGTAAGTTTTGTTCTACACTACAAGTTCAATGATAATTTTTTTTCTTTGAGTGAGATTAGGGTGAATTCTATGTTACAAACATTGCTATAATGAGCCAGTGTGTTTGTATAATGATCAGAGACCTCTCATCGAATAAGTTGACTGGGTCAATACCTCCAAGTTTGGGGAATTTGAAGAACCTAATCATACTGTGAGTCTTAAAATAATTTTTTTTTTTTTTTTTTTTTTTTTTAGTTCTATTTAGTTTTCTTATGTAAGGATAGAGATATGGTTCTATCCATTCCTTTGTCTTCTAATAATTTCTGCTTTGCCGTCACAGCTACCTGTTTGTTAACTTTCTAAGTGACAACATCCCTCCAACTCTTGGTGATCTATCATCTCTGGGACAAATGTAAGCATGTTCACAATCGAAGCATTGTCCTCATTCACTTCATTGGATTTACGAGATCTCATGTTTTTGGGTTTATTATGCAGGGACTTATCGTATAATAGGTTATCAGGCTCAATTCCGGGTGAACTTGGCAAACTTAGCAAACTCGAGGACTTGTATGAAATCTTCTTTCGGTCTCTTTCTACTTCAAGTCATAAACGAATGATTCTCACAGTCTTTAACCCCATTATTTCTCTATTTTATTCATAGGGATTTGACTGAGAATGAACTAAACGGTTCACTTCCAAAAGAACTTGGAAAATTAAGCAATCTTCGGTTTCTGTAAGTATATCTAGGGGGGCGTACAAGACCAAAAGAAAGGATGGAAATGATTATTTATTATAAGTTTTTTTGTTCCTGGGACAATGAATATGGGTCATGACATTTTGGGAATGATTGTACTGTTGTTGCAGCTATTTTTCATCCAACTATTTCACTGGGAATTTACCCGACGAGTATCAAAATATTGCGGCCATGGATTCTTTGTCAGTGAGCCATCCTTTTAATTATTTATGTTCTTTTCAGCTCGCAATACTATTCTATTTTTTCATCTTTGCTTCTTCTTCCTGGGCAACTTGTAGCTAATTAATTTCTTTTGCAGTGGCGTCGGCGGGAACAGTTTGACGGGTCCGTTTCCGAAATTCGTTACTAAATGGGTCAATCTCTCTTACCTGTAAGCCTTTTTGACTGTAATATACATCCAAATGTTAATCAATATTTCAGTCATTCCAATTTTTGACCCTAATGATATAAATTGAGAAATTATAGCCACAATGAATCCTGATCTCGATCATTAAAGTTATTAATCTTTTATTTTAAGGAAATTTTCAATTAGGGTACAAAATTTTTACATTAGGATTTAGAACTTCAAAAAAACATAACTAACAGTAATTTACCTTTAACTTTAATTATCAATAGGAAACTATCTTGCATAATGGATATTCTTCGTTGCTCACAGAAATCTTATGGGAAACAATTTTGAAGGGAAACTGCCTGAAGAAATTTTTACAATGACAAATCTTCGGACTTTGTAAGAAAAATTCAATCTCGTGTTGTTTCTTGTTGCAGAAATGAACTTCTCTTAATTATTGTGATACTTTCTGGCATGTCTTTGTTATACCAGGATGGTTAGTGATCTGAAGAACAACGGTTCTCAGTTACCAACGCCAATTAACTTGAGAAACATGCGTACTCTGTAAGTAGTCCAATTCATTTGTTACACATCCTATATCTATTCCTGTAAATTGTATGAATTTTTTGTAATTTTTCGATCCTTAATTTATGTTATTTGACGGATCCTGAACTCCAATTGATTTGACTAATTTTCTCAAGGGTACTGCGGAACTGCAATATTATCGGTCAAATCCCATCAAATATAGCTGATCAAAATAAATATTGGGGCCGACTGTACGTCTCTTTCCTGATAAAATCCAAAGTTTTTGTTTTAAATTTCGTGTCTCGTTCTAATGATAACTGTGTTCATCAAGTCACTAATATTTTAGCCGAGCATCTTCAATGACTAATTATTCCAAATTTATGTGCATTGTAGTGACTTGAGCTTCAACAAATTTACTGGTGTGATCCCAGATTCTCTTCTGAACCTGAATTCAAGTAGTAGCATGTATGTGATAACTTTCTTGATCACCATCAATCTATCTCTCTGTTCTTCTTCATCACTAGATTCACTGACGTTAATTGGCATCTCTGCTTTCAGGTTTCTCTCCGGAAATGTGATCAATCAGAAAATTCTCCACTGGATTAATAACACAGTGACATCTAAGAGGTATATTTATTAAGAGAAGTTAATGACACTAATGGCATCAGATTGCATGAACTTTTCAATCATTAACTCTAATTTCACCGCAGATCATACAGACAGCTATATATGGTTACACATTGTTGACTGTATATATAAGTTTTAAGAGTGTTAAATATCTTACTTTTCAAAAGGTTTTAACTATTTAGTAAAGGTCTAGCATTAGCATAATATTACACATACAACATTTTTATAAAACATTTCTCATACAATATGATGTAACAAAAGATAATTGGTTGATTTTAAATTAAAAATAAACTTTTACCCAATTATTTTTTACCACATTATGTTGTATGAGAAATATTGTATGTGTAGTATTACTTCAAACATTAATATTTGGCAACTAAATACATTAAACTTGACCGTCAGAAACCTTCAGTTTACATGTAAATTAAAGGTGCTAGCTCAATGATATTAATTCTCCAAGACACCTTTTCTATTAAATTATCATTCTCGTTTCACCTAAAATCTTAAGCTAGTAAGACGGCATTCACTATATATTAATACTGACATGTCATGTGAGTAAACATAAAATACATTTCTGCTTATAGTATGAAGGTGCATATCCGTGACCATATATGCTTGTTACACATTATATGAAAGAGATATTTCCACTCTTTTGTGAAATTATTGATTATTCTTTTGCAGGGGTATTTCATTCAATAATTTTACAACTGAAGAAGCAGCAGCAAAGAAGTATGTGAAAGGAAATAGAAATACAGAATCAAATATTTGCTATTCTTTTCTTCTACCTTTTTTTTTCTTTTCTTATCCGTAAAATTCTTTTTGCCTTTCAAATATCACTTAATTATAAAAGATTCACTCTTTTATGAAATTGCCGATTATTCTGTTGTAGGGATATTTCACACAATAATTTGGCTGAAGCAGTAAGGAACAATGTGTAAGGAAATAGAAATACTGAATCAATCTCCACTGTTCCTTATTTTCAATTACTCTTTTTTTTTTTTTTTTTTTTTTTTTTTTTTTTGTATATCAACCATCACTTATAAAAGGTTCACTTATATTTCATGGACTTGTTTCATGTTGCTGCTGCTCAAACATTGGACCAATTATAGGTACATTATTCTTCGTTATTAAGTAAAAGATACATGTGTATCTGCTAACTATCTACCAAGTATTTGTAATATTTCATTATCATATAATTGAGGAAATATATCATAAAATCTGTAAATTGTTATCTTGCAGGAATCTTTCAAAAATAAATATGTAAGGAAATTGCATCATTCTCCCATTCTTTTGAGCTTTAAATTTTACTTCTGGATGTGTCTCTCTTTTTAACCTTTGCGTGGACTTGTCTGCATGTGCTGCTGCAACCAGTGAACCGAGTAACAGGTAAGTCCATATCTTCAATATTCTGCAATTAATATAACCCTGAATTTTTTTCACCAATTGAATTGTGTTCTTTAGGGAATCCCTCCAACAGATCATGAAAAATCGTTGCGGCAGAAAAAAATCTAAGTGTACGTTTATTCTTCAGCAAGCACACAATTTGAGGCTTGATATGACAACAATAATTTTAATTATACTGACATTCTTGTTTCTTTCAGACAATTCATTGTTTATAAATGCTGGTGGCGAGCGAATAAACTCTGGAAAAAACGTCTTTGATGAAGATAATTCCACACTGTTAACTACTTTGTATGAAAATTCAAAAAAGCCCTGGGCTTATAGTTGTTTGGGAGAGTTCTTATCGTCAACGGATTCCACAAATTACATACAAAACATTACATGTGGAGTTTCTGTTCGTGATCAGTTATATGTTAAAGCTCGTCTTTGCCCTCAATCTCTAACATATTATGGTTTCTGCTTACACAATGGCCTTTACACTGTGAATCTTCACTTCGCCGAAACTGTATTTGCAAAAGATGAAGACTACAGCAGTTTAGGGAAGCGAGTTTTTGATATATATATTCAGGTAATGCTTTAACTCATTATGCTAATTTTCAGTTTTGCCATCTACTAAGGAATTCTCCATTACAGGGGGAGCGACTACGAAGAGATTTCAACATAAAAAAAATGACTGGCAATACTCCAAATATGGAGTGGATTGAAAATTTTACAGATGTTTATGTTCATGATAATCTACTGGAGATTCGCTTATTCTGGGCTGGAAAAGGATCTATTTATTATCCGCTTGATCTGAATGGACCTCTCATATCAGCTATTTCGGTCAATCGAAGTACAAAATTTCACACTTGCCCTTCTGTTTAATTTTGTTCAAATTCCCATTTTTACGACTATGCTGACAGTATGGTTCTTGTTGCAATCAACTATTGTATTCAGAAATCAAACCATTACCGATAGTATGGATTGTGGTTGCTTCTGTATTAGCTGCACTTCTTCTATTGGTTCTTGTTTTGGCTTTGATGTGGAGAATGGGATATCTGGGAGACAGAGAGTTGCGTGGTAATATGCAATAAATTCAAATGACTCTAATTTAAATTCTTTTGTTAAGAGAATTTTAGTTATGCTTTTACTTTTTTAATCTGTGTAGTGACAAAGGTGGTACTCCGAGGCCACTCTTACACTATAAAACAAGTGAAAGATGCTACTGGAAATTTCAGCCCTACGAATAGGATTGGCAATGGGCGTTTTGGGATGATATACAAGGTTATACTTTACTTTTTTTTTTTATGTTGGGATGACTAATTCATACATTTGGGTACTTTATTTATTACTAGACTTTCTTTTGTATAAGGCTCAACTGCCAGATCAGACGGTAGCTGTGACCAAGCTTTCTTTTGAATCAAACAAGGATCAAATAGGAACTGAAGTCTATGCCTTGAAACAGTTAAAGCATGACAATCTTGTCGAATTGTTGGATGTCTATTCCAAAAAAGATCTACACTTGCTGATTTATGAATATATGGAAAAAGGCTCACTTAAACAAGTATTGTTTGGTAAATTTTGATTTCATTTTCTTTAATCACTTTGGAACATACAATTATATCTTTATATATATCTCCATGTTATTATCCTTCTTTAAATTAACAACATTAATGTTGTGAATTATGCAGATGAGTCGGATTCTAAAGTGATACTTGATTGGCCAAAAAGAGTTAGCATATGTCTTGGAATAGCAAGGGGTCTGAAGTATCTACATCAAGATCATACAAGTGGTAAAGTTGTTCACAGAAATGTTAAAGCAAGTAATATTTTACTTGATGGAAATCTTAACCCTAAGGTTTCAGACTTTGGACTGGCAAAGATTTATGACGAGGAAAATCCATACCAGTTCATCAAAGAAATAGGAACAGTGTAAGAATCATCTGCCATTTCTTTTGAATCAAATGAACAAGTTATTTGTGCTATTTGTATGATTACTTGTTATTGTTTTAGGGTATACATGGCACCAGAGTGTGCAACACGGAAAGCCATAACAGACAAAGCTGATGTTTATAGTTATGGAGTACTTTTGCTTGAAATAGTTAGTGGAAAGAGTAATTTAAAGACCGAAGAAAACCAAGGGAACGATTATCTTTTAAATAAGGTGAGGGAAATAGACCAAATTTTGTGCAGAGCCAAGCAGCTCAGTTTTCAGATTCCATTGTACATTTAAAGGCTTACACTTTTGCATTAATGCAGGCTTGTGTTTTACATTCAGAGCAAATGCTTTTGAACTTGGTGGATACAAATCTGTGTGGAGATTATGATAAAAAGCAAGCCCTTAAAATATTGGATTTGGCTATAAAGTGCATCAATCTGTCACCTACTCTGAGGCCTACAATGCTCGAAATTGTGAGTGAGCTTGAGCAAATTTCTAATGTCAACGCTCCTTCTCCCTCAGCTTGATTTTTGAGCAGTTTGGTTTTATCAAAATGGTTTATGGAATAGGATTCCTAGCTTTGTCCTTGTCTCTTTTCTTGAGGTTCATGTCCTAGAAGAATTTTATTTTCTTCTGGTTGCTCTGTTTTCTGATAGTTTTCATGTTACTCTTTTAAAGTGAGAATAGTGAGTATAACTGTCAACAGTGGCTTTTCTGAAGGAAAAGACATATATTTCTCGGAAGAAGTTCCACAGATTTGCTGTTTTTAAGTTCCTTTGCATGCCATTCAAAGCTGAAGTGCAATTTCTCACATCCAATCACAACTGTTAATACAAGATCTAACAATTTGTCACCCTATGATTCGTTTTTCAATCTAAGAAGAAATGATGAAGGGCTAAAAATTGGCTACATAGTTCACAGGTTCTCTAGATGACAATGTTGCCTGTCGTAAGTACGTATTAACTTAACTATCATCAAAACCTGTTTACAACTTAGTGCAGGAAGAAAAGTAGTGCTCTCAAGTTAGCTAGAGAATCAGATTCAAACTTGCTTCTTGCAAACGTTTACAACCATACTCTGTTCTTCTCCGTGTTAACATTTCTATCTTCTCTTTGCAAGAAATAAGACCGTCAAATTTGCCATTTTGAAATTTGCCATTTTGAAACAACGTTCTTGAAAACTTAGGGTATGTGCCATTTTGAAATCCCTTTCAAATTTATAGCTAAGTTCTTTGTTTGTTTGTCCATTAAATGTTACCCAAAAAACAGTTCAAAAGTTGATTTAAGCCATTAATCCATATACCTCAAATAAATTAGACTTTTATTGATGAATACTAAAAGTTAAAACAGCAAAACTTAATCATTCAGATTTGAATATGAATTCACAGATCAGATTCGAACGGAAGTTATGGCGACAGATGCTAACATTAAGACGCTGACAGATAAGGTGTTCAGGCCTTAAATTAATTGAGCTCAGTTTGCACTTGATTTTAAGGCCCTCCAGGTACAAGCCAGCAAGAGATCACTAAGATTTATTGTCCTTTTTTTATTTTGTTTTAACTTAAACAATACTAAACTAATACAAATGCACTGGCGTCTGGCTGTTACACTGAAGTTACGTAAAGATGGCTGAAGAAGAATTGTCATGACAATTGAAGTTATTCCATGATAACACACTAAAAGTTATTCCATGATGTACACTCTAGAAGTTATTCCACCATCNACAAACTAAAGGGTCCTTAAAGAAAGAACCCTAAACAAAAGAAGTATAATGGAATTACAACTTGGGATACAATTAACATTGATTTAGGTCCTTATATATAGGCCCCAAAAGTTTCCCACTTTTCATTCCTTTTCAATGTGGGACAAACTAACTCATTTTGGCCTATTACATATAAGTCCCTAAACCTTTCTCCATTATCATTTCTACCCCATGTGATTTTGCTAAAAGCCATTTTTCAACATTTACAACCATACTCTGTTCTTCTCCGTGTTAACATTTCTATCTTCTCTTTGCAAGAAATAAGACCGTCAACATTTTTCTGTATTTGGAGCTCTTCCGTTCTTTCTATCACGTTCTTTCTTGAAAACTTAAGGTATGTGCTGTTTTGAAATCCCTTTCAAATTTATAGGTAAGTTCTTTGTTCGTTTGTCCATTAAATGTTACCCAAAAAACAGTTCAAAAGTCTATTTAAGCCATTAATCCATATACCTCAAATAAATTAGACTTTTATTGATGAATACTAAAAATTAAAACAGCAAAACTTAATAATTCAGATTTGAATATGAATTCACAGATGAGCTTCGAACGGAAGTTATGGCGACAGATGCTATGATTCAGACGCTGACAGATCAGGTGTTCAGGGCTTTAATTAATCGAGCTCAGTTTGATCTTGATTTTAATTAGATCAGGTTGAAATAATGACGAAAAAAACTTGAGCTTATGACAGCCTTCCTCTCCTCCATTACAACACTCATTATCAGGAAGAGTTTCAAAGAATATTGCCAGCAGCTGCAGAAGGAGGAGGAGAAGTTTGATAAAAAGAAGTGGTGCAGAAGCATCTTAAAAGTCTGTTAAAAGCCTGGGATGGGAAAGTTCGTTGCTTTGACAGAAAACGGAAGTTAACAGGTGTGTGTTAGTTAATTAAGTGTGCTGCGTGTTCGTTATTAGTTAGTTAATGAAGTGCTGCGTTTTGGTTACATAATGTTGACACGGATTGCCCGAACCTCCCAAATTTGCATTTGAAAAAAATGACCTTTGAAAATATTTTTCAATTTTTTTTAATTTAGATTAACTGACGTTACACATTTATAATTCATTAAACATGTAAAACGGGTTAAAGTGAAAAGATTTAAACATATATTGGTAATACATAATTAATGGAAGTTTATTTAAATTTTGAAAATTAAAAACGACTCCCACCTTCAAAATCACTTAATCGAGCCAAATATCCAAAAAAGACAGTCGACCACTTTTGATTTCTCTACCATTTTCAGTGACAAAAGTGCCCTATTTTGGCAAATATTCGATCTTAAAGCTTTCTTACACAAAATCATAACTGATATTCAAAAAGATGAGGAAAACCCAACCCCACTCCAAATCTTAGACTCCGGAGGTGGCGAGAATTCAAAAGCTGTCGAAAAAAATGCTCCAGTGGATCATCCGACGAGTCCAAAGGCAGAGGAGATGATGGCGACACAAGAATTTAAACTTTAATGTCTTGAGCGATCTGGTATAAATAAGTCTGATTGATTAAGCGATCTTTTGTCATTTACGTGATTGCTTAAGCGATCTGCTGACATGCACCAGACTTATAACAAATCGCTTAAGCGATCTTTGGCTATTTACCTGATCGCTTAAGCGATCTGTTGCCATATACTAGACTTATAGTAGATCGCTTAAGCGATCTTCTGCCATTTACCTGATCGCTTAAGTGATCTGTTGACATACACCAGGCTTATAGCAAATCGCTTAAGCGATCTTCTGTCATTTACCTGATCACTTAAGCGATATGTTGCCATATACCAGGCTTATAGTAGACCGCTTAAGCGATCTTCTACCATATATCTGATTGCTTAAGCGATCTATGATCTGCTGCATTATACAGACATACTAGATTACTTAAGTGATATACTAAATCGCTTAAGTGATTCATCATATCTAGAACACATTTTTAATCATCTCCACCTACAATTGGTGTTACCACCTCCAATTACCCACAATGCAAGAAAATATTCAACAAATTTCACTCATTTCAACTTGCATTACATCAAACACAACCCAACAACCTAAATAACTAAATTAAAATCATAACCCAAACCCAATCCATTATTAAATATTTGTAAATCGAAATATAAAATGGAAAAGGGAGATACACATACATGGATGAAATGTCAGGAGGAAGAGAAGAAGGAGGATCTATGGCAGAGAATATGTTAATGGCGAAGGAAGAAGTTAATGTTAATGGTGGGAAGAAGAAGATGTACAGGAAGGAGGAAGAAGAAGATGTACAGGAAGAATATGTAGATGAAGAAGAAGATGTACAGGAAGAAGACGTTAAAGTATAAACTCATAGGAACTGAAGTGTATGCCTTTAAAAAAACAAACTTGAGAGATAAGAATATTGTGGAACTATTGGCTATCTCTTCTAGAGATGATCTAAATTTGATAATCTACGAATATATGGAAAGAGGGTCGTAGATTATCAAATTTACATAAATTGAACATCAAATGGTCTTATAACAAAGTCTCATATATGAAAATAAATCTATGGCCTAATTAGTTTTTTCTTTGAACTTCCCTGGACCAAATTGATGAAAGGAAAACAAACGGAAAGACTAAGGCAGTCCACTCTATAAACCACTAAAATCAAACCAAATCATGCAGAGGGAGTGTTGACTTCAGGTGAAAGATTCCTAGGATCGACTAAAGAATATTCTAGAAGCAACACTTTCTAGAGAAACAAACAGAAAGTTTGAGAGAAAATGCAGAACTTGAAGAACAGAGAATTTTCTGGAAACTGAGATTTTTAGTAAAATGAGCTTACTTTCACAAACTAATTACAATCGGTTTATATGGGGCATTTTATTAAAAGGCCAAATCAAGTTCAAATTTAATTAAAAGGCCATCTAATTTGAAAGTGTTAAGTAAATAGCATTGTTATTGATTAAGGTTAATTAAACATGATTAGTGGTTAATTAGGATTAATGAAGTATTGTATAACTTTTAAAAACTATAATATGTCTCTGAAGAGCCGAAATTCTTGCAAACAAACCCAAACACCTTCTTCTTCTTCTTCTTCCTCCCGCCATTAACGCATTTCTTCTTCTTCATCTACATCTTCTTCTTCCTGTACATCTTCTTCTTCCCACTATTAACATTATTTCTTCCTTCGCCATTAACATCTTCTCTGCCATAGATCCTCCTTTTCCTCTTCCTCCTAACATTTCGACCACGTATGTGTATCTCCACTTTCCATTTTATATTTCGATTTACAAAGATTTAATGATGGATTGGGTTTGGGTTATGATTTTAATTTAGTTGCTTAGGTTGTTGGGTTGTGTTTGATGTAATGCAAGTTGAAATGAGTGAAATTTGTTGAATATTTTCTTGCATTGTGGGTAATTGGAGGTGGTAGCACCAATTGTAGATGGAGATGATTAAAAATGTGTTCTGGATATGATAGATCACTTAAGCGATTTGGTGTATCACATAAGCAATCTAGTATGTCTGGTATAATACAGCAAATCATAGATCGCTTAAGCAATCAGATATATGGCAGAAGATCGCTTAAGCGGTCTACTATAAGCCTGGTATATGGCAGCAGATCGCTTAAGTGATCAGGTAAATGATAGAAGATCACTTAAGCGATTTGCTATAAGTCTGGTGTATGTCAACAGATCACTTAAGCGATCAGGTAAATGGCAGAAGATCGCTTAAGCAATCTACTATAAGTCTAGCATATGGCAACAGATCGCTTAAGCAATCAGATAAATAGCAGAAGATCGCTTAAGCGATTTGCTATAAGTCTGGTGTATGTCAGCAGATCGCTTAAGCAATCACGTAAATGGCAAAAGATAGCTTAATCAATCAGGCTTATTTATACCAGATCGCTTAAGCGATCTATTATATCGCTTAAGCGATCCATTATAGCGCTTAAGCAATCCAGTAAGTGATATACCAGATTGCTTAAGCAATACACCAGATCGCTCAAGACATTAAAGTTTAAATTCTTGTGTCGCCATTATCTCCTCTGCCTTTGGACTCGTCGGATGATCCACCGGAGTGTCTTTTTCGACAGCTTTTGAATTGTCGCCACCTCCGGAGTTTGAGATTTGGAGTGGGGTTGGGTTTTCCTCCTTTTTCTGAATATCAGCTATGATTTTGTGTAAGAAAGTTTTAAGATCGAATATTTGCCAAAATAGGGCACTTTTGTCTCCGAAAATGGTAGAGAAATAAAAAATGTTCGACGGTCTTTTTTGGATATTTGGCTCAATTAAGCGATTTTGAAGGTGGGGGTCATTTTTAATTTTCAAAATTTAAATAAACTTCTGTTAATTATATATTACCAACATATGTTTAAATCTTTTCACTTTAACCCGTTTTACATGTTTAATGAATTATAAATGTGTCACGTCAGTAAATCTAAATTAAAAAAAAATTGAAAAATATTTTCAAGATCATTTTTTTAAAATGCAAATTTGGGAGGTTCGGGGAGTTAAATTTCCTCCTGTTTATACACTAAACAAAGTACACGTTGGCAATCCGTGTCAAACTGCTAGGTAAACAAACACACTTTCTGATTCTTCACAAGCATCAGAATCATTAGAACAACAGCTGCGTTTCTTCTCCATTTCTTCTTCAACGTTATGTAACCAAAACGCAGCACTTCATTAACTAACTAATAACGAACACGCAGCACACTTAATTAACTAACACACACATCTGTTAACTTCCGTTTTCTGTCAAAGCAACGAACTTTCCCATCCCAGGCTTTTAACAGACTTTTAAGATGCTTCTGCACCACTTCTTTTTATCAAACATCTCCTCATCCTTCTATAGTTACTGAATCACCCTTCTGAATCATTTCTTTAACTGGATTTTCAGTCTCAGTAAGTTTATTCACAACATTTGACATTGTTGGCCTGAGATCATGTGAATCACTGATGCATTCCATTGCCAAATCCAAGATTTCAAGGGCTTGCTTTCGGCAATTATTGGGCAATTTTGGATCCACCAAGTCCAAAAGCCTTTTCCTCTTATGACAGATACGAGCCTGCATTCAAGAAACTATGTTACCCCTTAGATGCACAAGTGAATTTGTTTGAGCTCATTATAATAGTATGTCTCTAATTTTAAATATTACCATTTGTATATCGGTATCCTAATGATTGTTAAGATTTTCATAATATTGTGTGGATCTTTGGTAATCAGCTAAATATTATGTAATCTTTTAGTTATGTTAGGTATACGATCTCAGAATATTCTAGAGATTATGTAATCTCCTAATTATGTCAAATAGAATATTGTGTGATCCGCAATTGACATAATTAGGAGATTTAGGAGATCGGATACTCCCTATATAAAGTCTGTAACTCTCAATGTAAAATCAATGAATTGAAAATCCAATTCTTCAAACAAATATGGTATCAGAGCCACTCTCTGACCTCTAAAAAAAAATTCTCATTGTAGAGCAGCCATCGGAAAAATCACCGGTGAGTAATCATCCCTGCATCGTCAATCCAAAAAGGAGAAAACGACTGCAACCAAACCAACCCAACAACCAAACCTGCCAAATACATCACTACCATTTCCATACCACCAAGTTATCCCAATTTGAAATCAACTCCAGCTAACTCTCCAAGCCATCCAACCAATTCACCATATCAAATTACCAAATCCAACAACTCAATCACCAACTTTGGCCACTGCCGACAACCAAAATACCTAGAAAAATCCAAAACTCCACCAGCTTTCGCTGTTGCCAAAACCATACCTTGAAAAATCCAAAGCTCCAAACTAAGTCAACACCATTTTGCTGCCAATCTTCATCCAAACAATTCCATTCTATTCAACCATCAAATTGCCCAGTTGCTGCCAAGAAACCAACGCCAAACAACTCTCAAAAAAAGAATTGTAGCCATCAAATCTAGCCACTAAACAACCCACATCACCCAAATCAACACAAGCAAATCAAAACTCAAACCCACATTCCCATACTCCTACCTTCAAATCCAACCACAAAACAATCAAATCCAAGAAACCATATCAAAAAACCAAACCATGCCATAACCAATCACCAAGAGACGTAGTCACGCTGCCGTCGCCATCGTTGAGCCGAGAAGGGAGCAAGTTGCCCAACCTGCCGTCGTCCTTTCGTCGATCTGCTATCCTGACGCCAACGTGACTTGCCTGTTGTGTTTGTCCGAGAGTTTGTTTTAACTTGTTCTTATTTTTCCTTTATTTTCTTTATTTATTTTTTTTCTCTTAAGTAATATTAAAAAAAAAAAAGAGTCAAAATCAAAGTCAAAGTCAAAAAAAGGTCAACAATGTCTGAATCATCAGGATCAAAACCTATTATTATTCAACCCGATGGAGCTTTCAATGCAGGAATTACTCTTACAGAATCAAACTATGATGTGTGGTCTCAACTTATGGAAATGCATATTGCGGAGAGAGAAAAACTTTCCTATATTCGTGGAAAGGAACCACCACCAAAGGAATTCGACGAGGGGTACGAAAAATGGTATGCTGAAAACCAGAAAGTCAAACGATGGTTGTTGATGTCCATGTCTCCTGAAATTATGAAGCGTTATCTTCGCTTATCCACTACTCGCGAAATCTAGAGTGCTCTATCCAAAGCTTTCTATGATGGAAGCGATGAGTTACTTGTCTTCTCCTTGCACCAGAAAGCCTTTACTGCTAAACAAAATGGAAGGCCACTCTCTGTCTATTACGGAGAATTGACAGAAATATTTCAAGAATTAAACCACCGAAATACAGTGGTTATGAAGGATCCCGATGACATAATAGCATATCAGAAATCTATCGAGCAATTGCGAGTTCACATTTTTCTTGCAGGTTTGGATGGAGAGTTCGAACAAATTCGTGGAGAAATTCTACGAAAAAAACCTATTCCAAATTTGGAAGAAAGTTACTCAGAAGTCCAACGAGAGGCAATCCGTCAAACTACCTTGAAAGGAGAATCAGGAAATATTGAGACTTCAGCAATGGTAGCCCAAAATAGAAGTCAGCATGCAAAATCCAGCAAAATAAACAATATAGACAAGAAGTGCATCCACTGCAACAAATCTGGTCATACCAAAAACCAATGTTTTCAACTGGTTGGATATCCGTACTGGTGGGATCACAGTTATGATCAAAGGAAGAAGAATTCCAAGAAAAACTCTATTGCTGCTGTTGTGGAAAAGAAAGAAGATGCTGATCAGTGCTCCTCATTTGTAGCAACTATTGGAAATGATGGTAAGTCTTTACATATGTGTACATCTGTTTCTAATAGTGCATGGATAATTGATTCTGGTGCTACTGATCACATGACATTTGATTCTATGCATATTTTACACCTAAAACCATCCTCACAGAAATTTGTGTCTACTGCCAATGGTGAGTCCACTCAAGTCATTGGAGAAGGATCAGTAACCTTCCTAAATACTTTAAACTTAGATTCAGTTCTAGTTGTTCCTTCTTTAAATTACAACTTGTTGTCAATCTCACAAATAACCAAAACTTTATCTTGTGTGGTGATTTTTTGGCCTAACTTTTGTGTGTTTAAGAGCATTCAGACAAAACAAATGATTGGTTATGGTATTAGATGAGGGAAGTTGTATTACTTGGATTTAGAGAAAAAAAATTCTACCATGGTACAACAAGCTTTTACAATCAGTGGCTCGGAAGAAGATAGGCAGAAATCCTCCATCTGGTTATGGCATCGGCGTCTTGGACATGCTTCATTTGGTTACTTGAAGAAATTGTTTCCAAGTTTGTTTAAGCAAAGTGATGTTAGTTGTTTCCGCTGTGATGTTTGTGAACTTTCAAAGAGTCATTGAGTTTCTTATCCAATTAAATTGAATAAAAGTGCAAATCCCTTTATGCTTATTCACTCCGATGTCTGGGGGCCCTCCCAAGTTAATACTTTAAGTGGATCACGATGGTTTGTTACTTTTATTAATGACTATACAAGGATGACTTGGGTTTGTTTGATGAAATCTAAAGGGGAGGTCAATGTGGTATTCCAAAGATTTCACCAAATGGTTCGTACACAGTATAATTCTCAAGTTCAGGTTCTACGAAGTGACAATAGAGGAGAATATTGAAGTAAAGACCTTCAGCAATACTTGATGACACATGGCATTATTCATCAAACTACTTGCCCTAACACACCCCAACAAAATGGTGTTGCTGAGCGCAAAAATCGGCATTTATTGGAGGTTGTTTGTGCTTCCTTAATAGAAGCTCATATGCCATTGTCTTTTTGGGGAGAAACACTCACTTCTGCTGCTTACATAATCAATCGAATACCTTCTACCTCAATTGAGTTCCAAACTTCGTTTCAAGCTCTTGGTAAAATAGTGAATGCTCAAATGGTTGCAAACTTACCACCTCATGTTTTTGGTTGTGTTGCTTTTGTACACCTCCACAAACATCAACGCAACAAGTTGTCTCCTCGAGCATTGAAATGTGTTTTCGTTGGGTATGGTGTTCATCAAAAGGGTTATCGTTGTTATCATCCTCCAACTCAACAACTATTTGTAACCATGGATGTTGTGTTTCATGAAGAGTTGATATATTTTTCTTCTAAGTCTGAACTTCAGGGGGAGTATTATCCGGAAGAAATTCAGACTCTTGACTATGTTGTTCAAGATGTGAGAGACTAGGAGTCAGACACTAGACCTGTTGATCAACAAGAAGATGAAGTGGATGAAAATGTTGAGGTGGTATCTCTATCCGAAAAAACTTCATCTCAGTCTGAATCTCTCATTCCTGGTATATCACAACCATCATTCACTACAAATGTTCTTGATTTAGAGTCTGAACCAATAGAACCTAAACTAATTAGGAAACAGTTACCACCAAGGAGTACTAGAGGGATTCCTAAACCAACATATTAACCTGAGCCATCTAGTAAGGTCAAATATCCCATGAGTCATTATGTGTCTAACCATCGTCTGTTAGAATCAAATTTGTCATTTGTGAATCAATTATCTACTGTCTCTATTCCTAACAATGTGCAGGAAGCCTTATGTGATCCAAAATGGAAAGCTGCAATGGATGAAGAGATGAAATCACTACAGAAGAATGAGGCTTGGGAACTTGTTGATCGTCTACCAGGAAAGAAGACTGTTGGATGTCAATGGGTTTACACTGTGAAGTATAAAGCTGACGGTATGATTGAATGATTTAAAGCAAGACTAGTAGAAAAAGGGTACACTCAAACTCATGGGATAGATTATACAGAGACATTTGCACCCGTGGCTAAAATCAACACAGTACGTGTCTTGTTATCTTTGGCAGCAAACCTGGATTGGCCATTATAGCAGTTCGATGTGAAGAATGCTTTTCTACATGGAGAATTGTCTGAAGAAATCTACATGGATCCTCCACTAGGGTGTATTTTATCAGGGAAACATAGCCAAAAGGTATGTAAGTTAAAGAAGTCACTGTATGGGTTAAAACAATCTCCGAGGGCATGGTTTTGGAGGTTTACCAAAGCTATGAAGTTTTTTGGCTACCATCAGAGCAATTCAGATCACACATTATTCCTTAAAAAAATAGCAAGGAAAGATTACTGCACTTATTGTATATGTGGATGATATGGTGGTTACAGGAAATGACCCAGAAGAAAAGAAGGCTCTGCAAAAGTACTTATCAGAAGAATTCGAGATGAAGGACCTAGGTTCTTTGAAATATTTTCTTGGAATTGAAGTGTCACGATCTAACAGAGGTATATTTCTATCACAAAGAAAGTATGCCTTATATGTGCTGCAGGAAACTGGTATATCAGCATGTCAACCAACTGATACACCAATCAAAGAAGGCTTGAAATTAGGAGTCGAGACTGATCAAGTACCAGTTGACAAAGGGAGATACCAAAGACTTGTGGGAAGATTGATGTATTTGTCTCACACCATGCCAGATCTTGCTTATGCATTGAGTATAGTCAGTCAGTTCATGCATAATCCTGGAGAGCAGCATATGAATGCAGTTATGCGTATCATGAGATATTTAAAACATGCTCCTGGAAAAGGAATCTTATTTTCTAAAAATAAGGACTACCAAAATGTGTATGCATATACTGATGCTGATTGGGCTGGAGTAGTGGATGACAGACGATCTACTTCTGGTTATTTCACTTTTGTAGGAGGTAATCTAGTCACGTGGAGAAGTAAGAAACAGAATGTTGTGGCACGCTCGAGCGCTGAAGCAAAATTTAGGGGAATGGCATTTGAGATTTGTGAAGCTTTGTGGCTAAGATTTCTACTACAAGATTTGGGTTATCAACCTAATCAACCAATCCAGTTATATTGTGACAATAAAGCAGCATGTGACATTGCTCACAATCCAGTTCAACATGATCGTACGAAGCACGTTGAAGTAGATAGATTTTTTATCAAAGAAAAACTGGATGAAAAGATTATTGAACTGCCCAAGATTCGATCAGAGGATCAATTGACCGATATTCTTACCAAGGCTGTCTCCAAGCGTATTTTCTCACAAGTGTTAGACAAGTTGGGCATGTGTGATATCTATGCACCAACTTGAGGGGGAGTGTTAAGATTTTCATAATATTGTGTGGATCTTTTGTAATCAGCTAAATATTATGTAATCTTTTAGTTATGTTAGGTATACAATCTCAGAATATTCTAGAGATTATGTAATCTCTTAATTATGTCAGATAGAATATTGTGTGATCCGCAATTGACATAATTAGGAGATTTTGGAGATCAGATACTCCCTATATAAAGTCTGTAACTCTCAATGTAAAATCAATGAATTGAAAATCCAATTCTTCAAACAAACAATGATATATGTATGACATATATCACCAAAATTTAAGAGAGCAAAAGCTTATTAAATATTCCCTTACCGTATTTAAAAGAAAAGTAGTCTCTTGGTTTTGTTCATGTTTTGAATTACTTTTCCCACTGACTATTTCAAGCAAAAGAATGCCGTAACTATAAACATCGGCTTTATTTGTATCTGCTTGCCCTGTTGCAGACTCAGGTGCTGTGTTTACTCTGAAACAATAAGTGACTAAATAGGCTTGAACGAGAGCACGTATAAATTGTAGAGACAGCTTTTGTATTCAATTCAAAAGGAAATGACAAATAATGCTTAGATTGGATTAAAAAAATAATAATGAAGTTAAATACTTAATCTTTACTTACCTTGTCCCTATTTCTTTGAGGAACCAAAACGGATCTTCTTCATTATAAAGCTTTGCCAGTCCTAAGTCTGATACCTTAGCATTAAGATTTTCATCCAGCAAAATATTACTGGCTTTAACATTTCTGTGAAGATACCCATCTTCATGTATACACTGCAGACCTTTGGCTACTCCAAGGCAGATCTTAACTCTTGTCTGCCAATCAAGCTGTACCTCAGATTTTGAGTCTGCGCTTAGAACATTTATGTATCTTGTTAATTGACCAAAAATAATTAAATTGAGCTATGAAAATGAGAATAAATAGATATTGTTTGATTTTTATCCCTAATTCCCAATCATACTAGTGAAGTTTCACATAATATTTGACGCACACCACGTTACAGTTCAAACATGTGTATGTCATATTTGTATGGGTGAAGATCTAGAATATCAAGCCTCTCAGCCTGCTGAACTTACTGTTAGTTAAAGTAACAGCGTTAAGCATACAAAAGCATTGCACAGTGTGTGTTAGCTGAAGAAAACACATCAGCGGCCAGGTATTTATTAAAGCAGTGACCAACTAATTCAGCCAATCAAGTTGCTTTGTTATAGAAGCCGACTTAGGGAATCAATTAACTTTCTAATATTAATAGAAATTTCTATTTCTATACTCTACTTTATTTTAATTACTAGCAAAAATCTCTGAATCTTCAAAGTCTTTCACTTGGCTCTTCCCTTTTATGGAGGTAAACTTCATATATATATAACATAATTAAGTATGAATTATTAGAGAAGTAATTCAATCAAGGGCGAAAGTAATTCAATTAAGAAGATATCAGATTTCAATTTGACTCCTAGAAAAAGTAAACACCATCCTGTTATGTAAGATACAATCATGATAATATATAGCACTAAAAAGATAAATTAAAATGACTGAAGGAGCACTGTTACCCAAATAAATGATGAAAAGAAACTTACCAAACAAGACTTGTTCCAGCGACCCTCTTTCCATTTATTCGTAGATTATCAAATTTAGATCATCTCTAGAAGAGATAGCCAATAGTTCCACAATATTCTCATGTCTCAAGTTTTTTTGTTTAAAGGCATACACTTCAGTTCCTATGAGTTTAAACTTTAACGTCTTCGAAAGCTTTTTCACAGCTACAATATTCTTATCCGGCAGTTCAGCCTATATCAAACAAAAGATTAGTAATGCTTAAAATATTTATAATTAATATATATTTTCACAATTGTTGATATGTTTCCATGATATGGGCCAATTGGTTAAGTCACAATTTTTAATACCTAAGGATAAGCAGTTCATCCCTCCACAAAAATTAACGACATATACCTTGTATACCATCCCGAACTGCCCCTTGCCAATCTCGTTCTTGCTTGTGAAATTCCCAGTAGCATCTTTCACTTGTTTAAGGCTGTAAAACTTGCCTCGGATCTCAATGTTGGCCACTATACAGAGAAAATTTCGAAAGGAATAACTTAAAATTGTCCACACTGGTCTTCATCAGTTAAAATTCTTCGATGAGAGTTATTAGGATTTATTTTATATAGTCTTACCGCGCAACTCTCTGTCTCTTAGCCATATCATTGTCCACATGAAAGCCAATAAAAGTAATAAAGCTGATACCGCAGCGATAACAATCCCTATTATCTCCACTTTAGATAATCCTACGACTTTGAAGTCTGAATATATACAGTGGTAGATTGAAAAAAGAACCATCTTTTAAACCTAGTAATAAACTGGGAATATGAATAAAATTAACGGAAAGGCAAATGTGAAGTTTTTACTTGGAGTAACAGAGATAGCTGATATGAGAGGCCCATTAAGAAAAGGGTAGTTGTAAATAGATCCTTTGCCAGCCCAGAATAAGTGGATTTCAAGTAGATGATCATTTTTTACATTAGCAGTGAAATTTTCAGTCCATATCTTATCTGGACCCCTTCCTTTAAGCCGGACAGACTCGCTCGCTAGCAACCCTCGTAACGAGACGAAGGGATCAATGTACCCAAAACCGGCGTTGGATTTGAAGATGGGAAGAATTTTCACTTAGAAAGCGAATGTTCATGTTCTTTTTTTGCAAGTACTGTAGGACGATGGAGGCGATTCATGACGAGCGGTCACAGTCGTGTGTGACTCTATTTATATAGGAAAAAGAGTTCTACAAACTCAAAATTAGCTTTCCTTTCTATTTCGGGAGCAGCCGACTGGTAGCTATCGCATGTAGTCGTAGGCGGAGATCAACAAGTGGTCAACATTTAGCCCTCACTGAAAGATATGCTTTTATTCTGCGATTGCAATCTCTGGCTGGAGAAAGATAGAAGTTAAGANCTCTATAATAAAATATCATATGATCATACGTCTCCTTATTTCCTTGTTTTTATGTCTAAATCCTTTTAGGTACAGTAACCTAGATAATCAGCTTGTTAAGATGGGAGGATATTTGAAATGATTCGTAGTGATTTGGTCCATCACTTATAATCACTAGTTATCTTTGATGTTGACGTAGAAAGATCTCGAGATATTTTGCTTTGTTTGATTTAATTTAATTAAAAAAACTCTTGAAATGATATTTAAAATAAAATATATACTAAGCATTATAATTTACTTTATCACATTATTAGAATTGGTTCTTTAAAGTTAATTAAATTAAATGGATTTAATGAAGAGATAAAATGATTTTTTTTTTTAATTTGTAATAGATGTTAATATTCTGTAATAGGGTTTTATTTTAAATTTTTCCAGCTCATTTTGGTTACTATTTTATCGTACAAAATTAAATTCTATCTTAACAGTGCAACCATCATTCAAGGAGCATATTGTGTATTCTTGAAACCAAAAGGAATTTAGTTTCACAGGGGTAGATCTGGTAGCCTCTTCAGTTTATCAAATCATGTTCATTCATTAATTTACCCATATTTCTATTGATTTAAAGGGCATATTCATTTTTATCAAATCTCATGGGTGAAATTTAAGTAACCCATCTGATAATTTGATTACATATTACCCTGTAAACAACGTACGTTATGTTCTTTCCTTGGTTTACTCTAGAAAAAAAATCTCTCAAAAACAAGAACTAATAAACTCCTCGAGTAGGTTCTTCATTTTCGAAGAGAAGGGACTTAATGTACTCCTCGAGGCTTGGAAGGCGTTGCTTGTCATCATAACTGTACATCAAAGGAACCATTCTTGCAAGATTAAGAGACGCCCTTGTGAAAGAAGCTGGAAACGGGTTCGGGGAGAGGCATTCTTTATTTAGGCACTTCCATGCATCTGAAATCTTACTCATAGCATGTTCTTCAGCAGCTTGTACAATTGACCCTTGGTGTTCCTTCATGTAGTAATGAACGTATGATCCATCTTTACCTTCCTGATTCTCATCCTGCAGTTCATGTAATTAACACTTTAATAATTCTTCTATCAAATGCTTAAAACGAGTGGACATCATTCGCTTATTAGAATGAAATCTATTAATGTAGTTGTCGTATCATGAACGTCTCTACTTCTGTGATAGACAATAATAGTGTCAGGCACTTTAGCGTGGTCGAATACTTGTCATTGTCAGGTACAATTAATGCATTTTTATTTGTTTGTTAATTATGTTCTAATATTTTATGGTTGCCATTCAGCAAATTGACTAGTACAGTAGTACTGAAGTATCTAGACTTTTCCATTGCGAAGTTACCTTGGCACTTCCCAAGTCGTCCCAAAGCCGAAGAATTGTTGCGGTGGATGATATTATTCCGGGATTATTGTCAATAAGTTCAACAGTTTCCTTTGTTACATTCTGACCCAGAAGAAAGAAAATATGCACGAGTACCACGTGTACCCCTGAACTAATAATCCCATTTTTCAAGTATTCTTCAGCCTTAGGCATGTTCTCAGAAGCAAACCATTTTGCTTCAACAAGAAATGCGTTGCACAAACTGGACCACTGTAGCAATCAACATTATCTTGCAACTATTAGAGCATTAAATTTTCTCAAAAACTAAAAGCATAAATTAGGTAGTTTGGTATTTGTTTATACGCACCGCTTTCCTTAGTGAGTGCACAGGGTTAAAGCCATGCTCCTTGTACACCTTGTAGCTGATTTCATTAGTGATATCATCAAGAACCTTAAAACATATCTTCATGTAGTCTGGCAGTTGATCAATAGCCGCATGATCCCATCTACAAGCATTGGTTTTGCAAATCAAATTATTGGGATAAGTAATTAAGAAAGAATATTAATTACAATCTATTGATAAATACATACCTGTTAACAATTTCTGTAAAAATAGTGAGTTCATCAAGTGTCCCATAAACATCAAAAATATCATCAATAATGTAGATGAAGGATATGGGTTTTGTAAGCTCAATTCTTTGCCACGACAAGTTTGCATCCGTGAGGCAGGCCATGGACCAAATATACCATTTAAGCGGCTGTTCTCTTGCAAACTCCAACTTCTTAGCCAAACCGAGGTCTTTCCACCATCTAATATGTCACATGTTTATATGCATATTAATTGGAGTGGTAAAATCTGAGATGGTAACGCATAATTAATCAAGTAACAAGATCAAACTTACTTAGATATTTGAACAATTTCCCTTTGGTGCAAGGATTGGACCAAATTGAAATCCATTTTCGCTAGTTCTTGAAAAACATGTATCCATTCATTTTCACCTTGGAAATTGCTAAGAAAAAATTTTTTTGCCGTGAACCTTGCCGAGCTTCTGTGATAGGGATACAACAATGTATTTCTAACAACCTTAGCTTGGTAAGGGTCAAGATGACTCATCGATTGATTGAGAAGCTTGGAACTAAATTGCCGAGCTTCATCAAGCACATCTTCTCCTCCTATACAAAGCTGTGATGCTTCATACAGACCCATCAATGAATTGATGTCTTCCCTTACTCTCTGTTTAAACTTTCCGTCCTTGTTAATAAATTTGTTAAACATATCTGCATAATCACACCCAAACAAAGTAAATTAGCAAGTGCCAAACTAAAAAATAAAATTAGTAAAGAGTATTTGTTAACCCAAAAAAAAAAAAAAAAAAATTGTACACACCGGTAGGCACATTATAACCTTCTTGTCTCAACAGTCGAAAGCGAAGAGGAATCTCCTGAAGATAATGATGTTGAAAAGGGTAAGTGGCAGATATCACATATTGCCTGCGTATAATTTGTTGAATCTCCTCCTGGAAGTGGTAATCAATTCCTAGGCGTTGAACAGCATCAATAATGGCCAATCCTTCAAAACTATCTTTTCTTACTCTGCTTAGCATATGCTTAAATGCCTTCAGTTTTCGCGCATGTTCGACATGAATGTCTTCCTATAAGAAAAAATAATAATTCAGCTTTAAATTTTGGTGACAGCTTAAAGGTTTGGCAAAAAAATAAAATAAAATAAAACAAGAAAGATGTACTTACGGCGAAGCTGGGGTGTCCGATTGGATACTTCAAGTGTTTCAAGAGGTTAGACCTGAAATCAGTATCGTTGTCAAGGGAAACGCTTTGTTTTTCATAATTGGTTGACAAACAGCCACGTACAAGAAGGTTTGGCTTGCCTGTTCCTGAAAACTTTTCTGGGACAATTGAAATAAAGGAGGAAACAGAAGAAAAAGCTGGGGAAGAGAAAGCCATTGATTTATATTTTATTATTTACCAAAATATTTCTTGAGCTATTGAAATATATTCGAGGATATGAAAGAAAAAGTGATCCAAATTTATAGGATTCGTCTCCATTACACTACAAATGACCATGTTATGCACGTTGAGCTACAAAGTATATGAGCAACCTGAAACATGTTTTTGTTGCTTTATTTGACGATTAAAGAAAAATAAAATTGTGCTTAACAATTGAAAGTGCTTACATCATCAATAATAATGTGTACATATATTTCATAAGTTGACAAACAACACTTATAATCTCGTGTTTTGTCAAACTTATGAACAAAACATAATTTGATTCTTAAACACTATTTAAAACATATCGCATCCAAGATTAATATTAAGATTACACTGATATACAAAAGAACAAATCAAGACAATTCTTAAACGATACGTCAAAAACATCATAGCCAAACACATAAACCAAATAAAAAAAATAAAGTTATTCAACAAAGCGCAGTTAAGACAACAAAAGAAATTACTCCCCCTCGGGATGATCAGTTGTCAGTCAAAAAATACTCCCCCTGAGACAAAAATCCCACATTCCACATTGCACCAAATTCAAAACGACTCCCCTTCTTTGTTCATAAGTCGACGTCTGGATCTTGTAGACTTTTTGAGTTTTCCACGAGGAGTAGCAGAAGTCTGATTCAGAGGGATATCAATCAGCAGAATAAAGAAATCAATTCTTAAAGGATAGGTGAAAAACTAGAGGTGGGAATTTGGTTCAAGGCCCAGTGGGACTGTCTAAAAACCCGGACCCAAGACCGGTCCTTGGGAGGACTGGTCTTAAAGGGCCCGGACCCAAACCTGGACCTGGGCCCAAAAGGAGGGACTGGTCCTTGGGTTGGTCCCTCCTCTAGGGCCTGGGCTGGGGACCGGTCCCAAACCCCCACCTTTTTTTTTACACCCCTGGCAAATATCAAACACCACCCCCCCAGTTTTTATTAAATTGACAATAAATATAGGGGCTAAAATAATATATATATAGTCATCCGACCCTTGGCTCAACGGTCAATCAGGGGGGGTAGGGGAATTTTTTTTATCTTTCACTTGCCCCCCAAACGGCCAAACCTAAATTATAAATAACCCCATTTCCCTCCATTTTCCTTACAACTCTCAATCTCCCATTCTCTCTACTCCAATTCTCAAACTCTCTTCAATTTATATTTATATTTAGTCATTTATTATTCATATTATTATTTATACTATTCAATTTCTTTCATTTTTTAGTTTCATCTATTATTCATATTATTATTTATGTTATTAAATTTCTTCCATTTTATTTATTTTATTATAAATTCATCATGGATTCCTGAAATTATGCATTTGGAGTATTATCCCCAAATGAGTACTATGTTCCATCCACCGAAGAAATGGAAGGGTTCAATCTATTTTCACCCTTTCCAAAGGTAGCAATTCCACAACCGGAAACGACTGGGACTGTGTGCATCCAAACACAAACGAGCTACGACACCACGAGCATGCCAAGACCGTCAAAGAAGGCCATGTCTGGGGTATGAAAATACTTTACCAAATCAAAACGGGCAAAGTTAAATGGGAAGGGGGAAGAAATGTGCGGGGTATGTAATTTTTGTGCAACTGTTATCAGCATTGAGCATGAGACTTCGACGATGCGACGACACCTGGAAAAGAAGCACCCCCAATATATACATCCCGGACTGTCTGGTTCAACTTCAATCACAGTTGGTAAGCAAATTCAAACTCAACTTAATTTTAATCCACAATCCTTAACTCTCTCAACTTGGCAATACAATGCATTCAAAGCACGAGAGGCAATAGCAAGATGCATAGTTACTACGGACTCTCCTCTTTCTTTATCTGAACATCCTTATTTTGTTGAAATGATTAAAAATATTTTTTGTCCAGCATATAGCCCTGTTAGTAGAGGTACAAGTAGAAGGGACATACTAAAACTTTATGAGATCAACTTACAATAGAATTTGAAATTTTTTAGGAATATATCTATTGTACTTACTTCCGACATATGAGCTGCTAGATCAAAAACATATTTTTTGAGTGTCAAAATAATTACCTAGATCATAGTTGGCGTTTACAATAAAAATTGATAGGTTTTAAACCATTATATGCTAAACATAGTGTTGAACAATTTCTTTTCCAATTATTGAAGTTTTGCAAGATTATAATGTAACTGCCAACACAACGACAATTTCTTTATTTGAAAAGAGATTGGATCCGCATGGTGACTGTAATGCTTTCTTTCTAGCTAGTATACTCGTAAAATAATCACTAAAACCCATTAAAAATATATATAAGAAAATACACATATATATACGAGTAATAAAGTATGGGCCCATATTTAATTTTTCTTTATATACAAATATTTACAAAATATTCTCAAAAATAGCAACTTGATAGTGTAGCCCGACCCTTCCACTGCGTGACATTCCGAGCAACCGCAACTCACCTATTACCTGCAAAACATTAAAAACAACGGAGTGAGCACTAATGGCTCAGTAAGTAAACCCACTATGCTACCCTTCTCTCTCTCCATTGCTTAAAATTCCGATTTTTCTTTCCTTATATCACATTTCCCGATTATTCTCTATTCTTTCCATGTTCTTCTCTCTGTTCTTTCTCTATTCTTTCTCTGTTTTGCTCTCTGTTTTCTAAAGTTTTCACTACCCATGATAATGAGCATGGTATTATGCATATTCATGATGCAAATGCACAAATGCATAAATTATGCATTTTCTTTTCTATTTTTCTTATTCTTATTCTGTTTCTTTTTCTTTATTTCTTTCTTTCTTTCCTAGTCTTTCTTTCTATTCTTTCTTTCTTTTCTTTCTTTGTATTTTTTTCTTTCTTTTCTATTCTTTCTTTCTTTTTTATTCTTTCTATTCTTTCTTTCTTTTCTATTCTTGCCAATCGGACTCGGTTGAGGTATGGATTTGGAGCCTTGGCCGTGTGAGTGAATTCTCTAATTCTGGGTACAGTCCTCATCCACACACACTCTAACGGACTGTACATTTCTTCTCTCTGAATTCTGAGGCCGCTCACTAAAGGCGGCATGCATGTGGGACTATGTTACTCACGGCTCCCCATCACAACAACCTTCTCTTCTTTTTATCTTTTTTTTTTTACACTTCTTTAAGAAAAATTCAGATTTGAATGTCTTTAATATTCTCATTTCTTTCTATTTTCTCTTTAACATATTTTAGGGCATTTTCATGCTCTTATGATTATGTATGCATATAGATGGTTTCTATGCCGATATGCTTGATGTACCAGCCAAGCCCAAGGAACTGAGCGGTACACCTACTATATGATCGTCGAATCACTGCTTTGTTCACTGAAATGCGAGAATCTCTTTTGAAGTTTAGAGCAAGCCTCTTCCCTATTGGTTATTTCGGAACCCAGCTCAGTTGATTCACCTAAAGCAGTTGAATTGATTCTTATAATTCTTTCTAAATTCACATATTTAAATGCAATTATGCATTATGGAATGCAAACATGTCCTTCTCTACCATCTACAAACACATCCCAAGGTAACACATAATCATACTCATACATGCACTTCTCCTTGGCATTTCATCAAACAATTCATGTGCACAAATCAACACTAATTTGGCTACACTTTTATCTCTATTTTAGGCCACCAAAAATTTGGAATAAACTCCTCCATAATTAACACCAAATTTGCCCAAAATACACACTTCAAAATTTTCACTTCAATTCTTCCAAATCTCATCCAAACATTCATCAAATAACAACTACACCAACACAACTTCCCATGGATAGGTTCTAATCATTATTCAACACCAAATCCATCAACAATTCTACATATAACACATATATATGCATAAAGAAAGTTCTCTATACAACATAACTTAAATCATACTTAGGGTATGATTTACTTACCTTTGATATGAGCAACTTCAACCCTTTAAGAATCTCCTTTGATCAAACTCTCTTCATCTTAAATCCTATGAGCATAAACCATCAAAATCAAAACTTTAAAAACTAAATTTCACTTCTTAGTGCAAGGATCTTACCTATAGAAGCTTAAGATTGAAAATCCACTCAAAAACACCCAAAACCTTTGAATTTCCTTTGAAGAATTTCAGAGAATATGGAGGTGAAAGTGGCGTGCAAATGGGTAAGAGTGGCTAGGGTTTCACTCTTCAATTTGATATAACATAAAAATTATATATAGTTTCCCATTTTGCCCTTGTACTTTCTTTAAAATTTCATCTATGTCCCTTAGTCAATTACCATAATGCCCTCATTTTTATTGGATTCTCCATGTTATTCTATCTCTTTTCACTCCCTACAATTTCAACTAATTTTGAGTGAAAAGACCATTTTACCCTTAATGCAAGTTTAAGGCATTTTCTTCGCATTTTCCTTAAAATAACCTTAGCAAAAAATCAACTAAAGGCATAAGAACATAAATTAAATTACGTACCTCCATGTGGGAGTTATAGTGACGAATTTTTTTTCACTAGAGATGTGCTTGCCATATCATCAATTTGATTATTAAAGTAGGTTTAGAAGCTATACATTCGAGATTTAAAGGGTGCGCGTGGCTATCGGATTCCTCGTCGATAGCAATACAAGATGGACTGAGTTAGTAAAATACTGCCACCAAGAGGAGCCGTCGATTCAACCAAAGAAGTTATGTACATACACGTCTATTCGTTGGAACTCCACGTTTTTAATGTTGCAAAGAGCTATGCCAACTACAAAACAAATTACAAAGTTCATCCGCTAGAAGAACTATCCGGATGAAGTCATCAACGATGATGATTGGATGGTTTGCAATGTTTTTCATTCATTTCTTAAAGTTTTTTACGATTTCACTATTACATTAAGTGATATTTATTATCCTACTGCTAATGTAGCGTTAGATATTTAACTTCAAATTTCTAAAACTTTTACTAAACATAGATATGATGCAAATTTAAGCAACATGGTTTTAAAAATGGAAA